AAAACTCACAATGTTTACGAACTTTGATTAACACCTAAATACAGCGCATCTGTACCATCTTTTGTGGTAGCTTTGTCAATACTAAAATAATAAACATTTTTATTTCTAATCATAAACAAGAAATGTAAGCGGCCGCAATGTTGTCCGTATCTTCTTTTCTGTTCATTGTCTTTTTCCTTCTTTGCATTATCCTAAGGCTTTCTAGTGTATATCGGGTTGACTCCCTTCTTTCTTTGTCGATAATCTTTGTGTTTGCGATTTTAGCTGTATGTCCACTTGTTATGATGTGTTGTGATAATGCTGTACTGCTTTTTTGTTTTCTTATATCTGCTTCATGTTCGCCTAGTCTAACACCTAAAGGCCGCTTAGTTGTCCCAATATACACTTTTTCGCATTCCTCAATTTCATTTCCCTTACATTTAATTTCATACACTACATTGTTTTGTTGTTGGATATCTACTGAGCACTTAGTTTTTGTGTATATTGACGACAGAGTGTAATTAGATTTGTAGGCAAGTGCTGTGTTTTGTGATTTCGTTATGCTGTGACCAAAATTGCCAGTTAAGTTGGGAATGTATGTTACACTGTAAAATTTCTTAGTAGTTTTTGTTGTGTCTGTGTTCGGTGTTTTATTGGGATGGATGCTTGTTTTCATAACTTCTTGATTTATTAATTCCCGTATTAAGTTTACAGGGTAATTGTTGTTTATTAGGATTTTGTTGATTTTCTCTTTGTTAGCTTCGTGGAATCGTGTGTGGCTTATTGTCAATATTTTATGGATGAGGTTTTTTGCTGTATTTATCTTATATTTTGTTGGTTGCGATGAGTAATAATTAATCAGGCGTCCAGAAGAAGTTGGTTTGGAATACCAGTCAAGTAAAAGATCGTGGTTTTCTCTATGTATACAAACGTCAAGGAAAGGGATTTTTGAATTTTCCTCTATTTCCATCGTAAATTGAAGTTTATTGTGATACTTGTTAAGAATTCCTAGAATGATATTCGCGTCATTGCGTTTAATTATAGCAAAGATGTCATCCACATATTTGGCTATAAATTTAATGTCGATATTGTATTTTTGCTTGAGTTCCGAGATGGTATTGTCTAGTAGGTTGTCCATAATTATCTCCGCTATTGTTGGGGAAATAGGATTGCCCATAGGCATTCCAAACGTTTGTGAATATAGTTTTTTGTTGAACATGAAATAGTTGTTGTCTTTTAGGCAAAATTCTAAAATTTCTTGGAATTTCTTTTTCGGAATATTGGTTTTTTGTTTAACTTGGTCCCATTTGTTCATGACTATTTTTGAGGCTAACATTGTTGGTATATTAGTGAACAAGGACACGACATCAAACGACACTAACATATCTTCATCACACACACGTATATTGGCTAACTTGTCTTTTAGGTTGAAGGAATTCTTAACATTGTATTTATCCGAAATTAACATTTTCAAAAACTCTCCGATGTATTTGGACAGCTGGTAACAGGGGACCATAAACGAGGAAACAATAGGACGAAGAGGAACATCGAGCTTATGAATTTTAGGCAATCCATAAAGTCTAGGCGCTGTGGCTGCGGTGCATGTGAGCTGTTGCTTTTCTCTAAAGTTAATGTGTTTGCCTTTGTAAAGTTCGTCCACTATTTTGTTGTTTTTTCTTTGCAGAGCATTCGTAGGGTCACTTCTTATTGCTTTGTATGTGTTTTTGTCGTCTATTAATTTGTTCATCTTGTCTAGGTACTCTGTTTTATACATAGCTACTGTTTTGTTGCCTTTGTCGGCATCGGTTATAATAAGATTGTTTTTGTGTAGCCTGACGAACGTCTTTGCTTTGTAAAAGGCTGCTAAAATAAATTTCTCCGCTGCGTTGTGCTTAATATTGCGCTTAAATAGTAGGATTCTGTTACTAACTTTATTTCTGGCTACTTCTTTTTCTCTTTCATTCTCCAGTGATTGTATTAGTTGTTCCATTTCAGCTATTATATGTAATGGAGAGAAATTTGATTTCGTTGTTGGCAAGGTGAATTTTCTCCCAAGTGAGAGTATCCACTTTACATCGTCAGGAAATTTTATCGATGTATTATTTACGAACCAGTTGTTATCCGTTTTTATTCCCAGTTTCTGCACTTGTTCATACTTTAGTTTATCTGTTTTTGAATTGAGAGTCGACCTCTTCTTTTCTGCGATCCTCTGACCAAGAAAACTTTGTTTATTGACGAACGTATTGAATTCTGACTCATTTAAATTGCATTTTAGTTGTTGTTGCGCTTGGTTTAAGAGATCTTTAGTTAATTTTATATTAATGTTTGTTTGTGTTATTTCTATATTTAATATTTTCATAAGAAAGGCTCGTTTCGACTTTTCCATCTGTTGTCTTATCCTATCAGAACTGGTGTTGATGGTTACGTTTTTGATCGAATTTGTCAAATGGATAGGAATAAGTCCATATCTTTTGCATTCCAGTAAGAATTTTAGGTCTTCTTTTTGTTTTGCTAATTTCTGATTTTGTTTGCTGTAATGCTTAAGGGTGATACATGTATGTTCACCATGCTTGTACTTCATATGCTTATAAAAATCTTTCATCTTGCTGTTTGGATTTTAGTTGGTGACAGAAAAAAATAAACTAATATTCGGCAGGCCTTCCGAGATTTAATTATATGTTTTATTGTCCGATCAGTTCGTAATTTATTAAATATTATGTTACCAGGCTAGTCTGATCTATGTTTTTAGTGCGAATAAAACTACATTATTCCACTTTCTGGCCCAACGTTTCGCTAAAACATTTTTAGCATCTTCAGGGGCAATCCAGCTTTATTAAATCTGCCACAAACCAAAAATACAAAGGCTCATTGTAATTAAAAATTAATGAATATAGCATACAAACATACATATACATATATGGAATTAAAAATTATAAACAACAATTTGAGGACAAAAAACTCACAATGTTTACGAACTTTGATTAACACCTAAATACAGCGCATCTGTACCATCTTTTGTGGTAGCTTTGTCAATACTAAAATAATAAACATTTTTATTTCTAATCATAAACAAGAAATGTAAGCGGCCGCAATGTTGTCCGTATCTTCTTTTCTGTTCATTGTCTTTTTCCTTCTTTGCATTATCCTAAGGCTTTCTAGTGTATATCGGGTTGACTCCCTTCTTTCTTTGTCGATAATCTTTGTGTTTGCGA